TTTTTAATTCCAACAATATATGTATCTCACAAAATCTACTTTCTTTTGGCTGAAATGAGGCTGAGGGCAATTTAAATTTTTTATAAGACCATGTGAAACCCCCAGAGCTAGAAACTGAGTTTGCATATTTGGAGGGGATCACGGTCACATAGAACATATTTGCATAATGCACTTAAGTATGTCAGTTATAAATCTAGGATCTGCTTTCGTTTAGTTTCTAAGTCAAGTGTTAATCTTGTCATTTTTTTAAACTGTTTTTGGTTAATTTATGCCTCAATATATTGCACAAATCCAGAAAATGAGTTATTTCAGTAACCAGGTCAATGAGATGTGTGAATACACAGCTATTCATCTTATGTGATGGGCAAGAACTGTCCTTAACTATGGATATAACCAAAAGAAAAACGGGAAGGTCTAAACCTGAATTATTGTAATTTCTTTAGCTGGGACTGTCCTTGAAGACTTCCTGGAAATTGCAGCTGCTGTAGTATCCAGCTGCCCATTCGATAAATGGTCAACTTTGTTATTCTTTCATCACACTGCTGTAGAAGGTGAACTACGTACCACGATATTTTGTACTTTAAGATTTAAGATGTTCAACAGGACATAAATACAACATTTCTTACTTTAAGAAGAGTGGGCTTCAGTTCCCAGAATGGGAGAATAGGTAGACACTGGTCTACTGGTCCAGTTTGTTTCCAAGTACAATTCAGGGTGCTGGTTATATCACTTGGACCTGCGTATAGCAATAGCAATAGCATTTAGACTTACTGTATATACCGCTCCACAGTGCTTTACAATAGCAGTAGACTTATATACCGCTTCATAGGGCTTTCAGCCCTCTCTAAGCGGTTTACAGAGAGTCAGCATATTGCCCTCTCTAAGCAGTTTACAGAGTCAGCATATTGCCCCCAACAATCTGGGTCCTCATTTTACCCACCTTGGAAGGATGGAAGGCTGAGTCAAGGCTGGTGAGATTTGAACTGCCAAATTGCAGGCAGCCAGCAGCCGGCAGTCAGCAGTCAGCAGAAGTAGCCTGCAGTTCTGCACTCTAACCACTGCGCTACCACAGTATCTTTGAATCCACCTAGAACAGTGTTTCTCAACCTTAGCAACGTGAAGATGTCCGGACTTCAACTCCCAGAATTCCCCAGCCAGCATTCGCTG